ACTAGTTATCGGATCTTACAACGGTTATCACTTTCTCCCACCCGCAATAATGTTCCTGTTCCATCCCTGTATCACTTCTTGGAACCAACGTGCCATGCTTGCTGCGACGCGTGCTATGAATTTCGTGACAGACAGACGGACGCACACACACACACACACACACACACACACACACACACTGACAGACATACTTAGTGAATTATATCTAGTAGAATAGTAGGATACCACAAACCATTTTAATTTTGAATGCCATTTTAACTGTGCTCTTTTTATAGGTGAAAACCGTCAACGTCAAGGTTGGTGACACTGTCGACGAGGCTCAAGTGTTGGTAGAACTTGAATAAGGGTAATCTCGCTAAATTGTTGGTATTTGAAACTGTTCTAAGTCATACTCCTTCACGTGAAAGTATTGCTCTTCCCAGTGTTCATTTCCAAGCCGAGTGTATAGAACAGTAGTTTGTTACCTCCATTTGTGCATTGAAATTCTAGTAAAGAATGAAATAATCGTTTTCGTTCAAAGTCACAGTGCTAATGTTACATGTATCAGCTCAACTCAAAGCGTTGAGCCAAAAACTGCATCATCGCTAGTTTTTAGTTCAGCTTTCTGCAAGTGGATCGAGTTCGATGAACGGAGCTACGGCAGTAATTTCTATACGAATGCTTTCGCGCAGCATTGAAATGACTGGTTGTTTTTATTCTTTAGCGCGACCGGAAGCAGCGTATTCGTTTATTGGAGTAAAAGTCTAAGGGCGATGATAAGCCTAAGACGGATAAGCCCAAGGGCGATGTTAAGCCTAAGAGCATAGGCCTAAGACGGATATGCCCAAGAAGGATAAGCCTAAGGCTGATGATCAGCCTAAGACGGGGTCTAATGTAAGACGGATAAGCCCAAAAGCGATTATAAGCCTAAGACGGATAAGACCGTCAGTTCTAGTACTAATAAGACTAGGACCTATAAGTCTAACCAGGGAGGTCGTTCAGGACGTGGCGCGCTTTTTGAAAACCGTTCTTTCTATTATGTAGGGACATGTTCATGGACTACCAAACTGACGTTCATTTTTCCTAAATGGCTCTCTGGATACCAAAAAAGGAGTGAAGAAAATGTGTATGGAAAGCAATGGGTTTTGAGCTCCTCTGGGCTCCAAATCACTTGCAACTTTGACCAGTTGCTGAGTGGATGGTCCTTATAAAGGCACTATAGAAATCAAAGAGGAAAATAGTCGCAAATGGGGTCTTATCTGCGGCATGTGTTTGAGAGTGAACGGCTTTGAGCGGCTTGTCGGAATGGTTTCTTCAACAATCGGAGCGGTATTCGGCTGCAACGGTCGGGTGGCCTAATGGATAGCGCGGAGGATCATCAATCGGACAGTGAGGGTGGGTGTTGATGGTTCGAATCCCCCCGGCGTGCGTGTTTTTGCATTTTTTTACTTTCGCTATCCTCGCTTCCATAAATGTCTGAGCATCAGTATAACATGGATATTTACCATTCATGGACAAGTTCTTAACACATTGAACGCCGCGGCGTTTTTGCGGACGACTCCCGTTTTGACTTCCTGCGTCTCCGCGCGCGTGTATTGAATGCAATACACGAACGCGCGAAACGGGAGTCTTTGTGCCGCATACCAATTTACACGCTCATTCTGGTCACTTTGCCGCTCATTTCTACATTATTCAGTATGAATAATGACTTCTTTTTGCTGCATAGATGGAGCTGGACAACGTAGAAGATTTAAGCGTCAGTTTTTATGAAATACAGTATTGGGTTAGCCCACAAGTAATTGAGTTTTTCTGGTTACACAATTTTTTATATGAAAACGACAATTGTTCCCAATATGTTCTACAATGTTCGATAGATAATTTCCTGCTCTATATGTTAGTATGGTTGCTCCCTACTATTTCATGGTTTCCGTTGATTTGTATTTCATTAAATGGAAAATTCGGGTCGTGTGGGGGGGCACTTGCTTGCGGAAACCCATCCCTAGGTCTTGAACTTCACACGAACGGAGGTGATGCTTGATAATGACAAGGAATTATTCTAAGACCTTTAATGTTTCCTCTACCCTTGGCATGATTCTCAGTTAAAAAGGTGATTCCGTAAGCTTTCAGTCCGACAGAATAGGGCATTAGGTTTGATGCTTGTCTGTGGGGTCGGAAACTGAAATCTTCAAATCACTTGAATTTTAGTAATATTCCTACGAAACGTAGCCTTTTAGCCATATACTTCCCAGCTGGACCCATGCGGTTTTAGCTTTTTAATTAGGGGTATAAATGAGAGGCTGTAGAAAATGCTCAATTTCGCTAACCTGACACTCCATTTTTATCACTGAAATACTTAATGGAAAAAGAAACTTGAAGGAAGTAGGGAATACTATTCTGTAGGGCAAGGAGCTCTCTGCCAAGTGGTATAAAACTCAATGGAGAAACCCTTCTTCTTCAGAGCGATATTTGAGTGAGAAAAAACGCCATTATGGGGCGACCCAATATTATTATCATAACGACTTGAACACTATCAAATGTGTTGTGAATTAACATTTGTAATAATCTCTAGAAGTCTTACTACCATTGCAGTGATGCGGAGCAATCATAAGAAGTGCAATTATTTGATGTTATTTTTTAATGCTAATGAATTACCCCAGTGAGCAGCTTATTTCACGCCATCAAGAACTAAGCTGAGTAAAGGTCATTGAATATATACTCAGTGAGAATGGTTCAATTCGCACTATTATCCACGAAAAAACCGACCAACAAAACGTGAACTGTGGGCAATACACAAACGCGAGAAACGGGAGTATGCGCGTGTATTGATATCAATTCACGCGGCGTTCAACGTGTTAATGGTAGTGCCCCGTAAGTCGGTGTTATACTACTATTACAATTTTCTCTTACAATTAAGCTAGGCTGCTACTGAAAATTGGTTTTTACGTGTAAGTAAGTGATATGATCATTAACATCGTACTTAATTTTAGCTGTGGTGCCATTTGTCTCCGATTTGGATCCACATCATTCTCCCACTGTATTCATTATGTACACCCATAAAAGGGGCGTTTAGCACTATTCTGCCGTCAAATTGCGTCAGCGCCAGAAATAAGTGTAAGAGTTGTGATCAGGACCATCGACAACCCCTATAGACGAAAAATCGCTCAGAAATTTTTTTCGACATTCTTTGGTTAAGGCGGATCATTTGGTCTACGATTATGACCAGAGTCTCATACCTTGCTAGCGGCGATGACGTAACGATGCACAGCGCGCCGCCGGCCAGCCGTATCGCGAATTTGCTGCATCGGAGGTCCTTCCATGCAGCTATAAGCTTGGATGCATGTGGAATACGTGAACAACCATCGCGGACCTTTGTCAACCCCTAGCGGCTACTCACCGACGAAGGTGTCATTCTCCTCTAGCGATAGAACCGATTCATTCAACTTTCTCGACTTTCGAATGCACCTGGAGGGATGATGGAATTTTTCTTTTTCCAATGGTGTTATCCTTGTTGTTAGTTTTATGTTTACTCATCAATAAATGGGAATGTTTGAATGACAGGCAAAGTACTATTTCAATAGAAAGACTCGTGCACACAATCCAATACACACACACCCAATAAGGTCGAAAAAAACTTTTAGAGCGATTCTTCGTCTATAGGGGTCGATGGTCCTGATCACGAGTCTTACACTTATTTCTGGCGCTGACGCAATTTGACAGCAGAATAGTGCTAAACGCCCCTTTTATGGGTATACATAATGAATACAGTGGGAGAATGATGTGGATCCAATTCGGAGACAAATGGCACCACAGCTAAAATTAAGTACGATGTTAATGATCATATCACTTACTTACACATAAAAACCAATTTTCAGTAGCAGCCTAGCTTAATTGTAAGAGAAACTTGTAATAGTAGTATAACACCGACTTACGGGGTACTACCGTTAAGAACTGGCCCATGAATGGCAAATATCCATGTTATACTGATGCACAGACATTTATGGAAGCGAGGATAGCGAAAGTTAAAAAAATGCAAAAACACGCACTCCGGGGGGAGTCGAACCATCAACACCCACCCTCACTGTCCGATTGATGATCATCCGCGCTATCCACTAGGCCACACGATCGTTGTAGCCGAACACCGCTCCGACTGTTGAAGAAACCATTCCGACAAGCCGCTCAAAGCCGTTCACTCTCAAACACGTGCCGCAGATAAGACCCCATTTGCGACTATTTTCCTCTTTGATTTCTATAATGCCTTTATAAGGACCCTCTACTCAGCAACTGGTCGAAGTTGCAAGTGATTTGGAGCCCAGAGGGACTCAAAACCCACCGCTTTCCATATACGTTTTCTTCACTCCTTTTTTTGGTATTCAGAGAGCCATTTAGGAAAAATGAACGTTCGTTTGGTAGTCCATGAAGGTGCCCCTACATAATAGGAAAAACCGTTTTCAAAAAGCGCGCCACGTCCTGAACCACCTCCCTGGTAAGAGCGATAAACTAAGAATGATAAGCCCAAGAGGGGTAAGTCTATGAGCGATGGTAAGCCTAATACCGAAGAATCAAACGCAAAATCGGCGCATGTCAGGTCTTCCGAGCGCTTACTAAACGCAGAGTCGGCGCCAGAAAGGAGGGAGTTAGTAAGAGCGCAGACGCGCAGTGATGATCTCTTACAATAAATGAAAAAGGGTAGGGGGAAAATATTTATGCATAATTCATGAAAGGCATCACTGATGAGCACCACAACCAGCATTCGGATGCGATTGGACTTATCATCTACGGCGCTGAAATGCTCAAATGAAACATAAGATAAAACCTCAAGAGCATAGCGTAAGGGTTTGACCCGTGGAAGAAACTGGAAGGTGAAAAATGAGGAATGTAACAGAAATCACAGATTTACACGAAACCTCGTGAGACCTCTAGCGAAACTCTGAACAATTTTGATGAGAAGAAAACTCAGTAGATACGAATTTACAGCGGAATGTGTTATCAAATTATTACACATCTAGCAATCATGTACATCGTTACGCCTGGCCCGACTGTCGTCCCAGACCCGGTTTCGCATCGACGATGGTCAGTTGGTGGGGTTTCTCATGTGACAGTTTCGGTTTTTTGAATGGAAGAGCCGCGAATACCACGGGAAGGACGATAAGACCATGACACATGCCAAGAAATACGACCAGAATGACAACCTGGAAAACCAAACACATGTTTGAGCAGATATTCCGCGTTGAACGCTGTAATGTGACGTGAGATCATGAGAGTTCCAAGCCCCATTAATGTAACCTGAACTATTTTCATGTTCCTGATAAAATGTACGAGATGGATCGGTATTTTGCACGCTACAGTTCTGCAAATGAACCGCAACATTTGTGCTCGAAAGAGGTAAGTAGCACGTGCTATTGTCGACCAGGTGACAAACAATCGTCAACTTTTCCAAATTCTGAAAAGATGACAACGTTTTGTGTCCCGCAACAAGCACTGCTTCTAAGGCAGCTGGCACGATAACTTCCTACTCGGCCTGAAATGCTATCAGGGTGCTGTATAGCGAGAAAATGGCGAAAAAAAACGAAATGAAACGGACAAATATTTGCGAAGAAAAGCCTTCGTTCTTAATGGCAATTTCGGACGAGGTTCCTGTAGGCATCTTGCCAATAACCGTTACGTTAGATACGGCTGCACGAGTGTACTCATATATCCAAGCAGCACCGCGGCCGCTTCATATCAATCCCTTTGTTTCATATTTTACATAGCAAATGAAGCATTACGAGCATCAGGTGCGGTCTCCATATGTGGGTGGGCGGGCACGGTGGGCGTTCGGGTCGGTATGTTCCAGCTTGATAGGGCCTTATAACATTACCTTCTTCTTTGGAAAAGACGCTACGCAGCGTTTGCTCAGGGTCGCGAAATTCCATCCTGAAAAGCGTATTAATCCTGTTCGTTCGCCTCAGGGATCTAGCGTGTCAACTGCCTTTAAGGAGCACATAGGAAAACGAACTCCTAGAAACTAAAAGGAAGTTAACAGGATTATGAGAGAAACCGACGCTGACATGCACAAGTGTTTCGTCATTTTAGAAGAGATGGGAGCTTCTAAGCGCACCGGGTTTTGAAAGACATCGCATAAAAAAGAATCAGCCAAGGTAATGAACAAAAGCACTGCCTCAGCACTCATTGGCAAGGGTAACCGCATCGTGCAATGCTCTAGAAACCATCCTAGCGACACCTGCGTTCATATCGCAGGCAATTTGGGTACCGCCAATGAGCCAAACAAACCATTTTCACTTCAAGTTCACCACCTTTCATACCAAATTCACGGTTTTGAAAACAAATTGAAGGCTTGGTCAAGCAGCCACACTAGGCGCTACTGCACGCCCGCCCTGACGGCCAAGCCCACACTTCAGCGTGGACATGATTTTTGGAATTCCATCTTATACCTCCCGCTTCTCCAGATTTCTTTTTGCGTTTTTGTTATTCCGCACATACACACTTACTGAAAATACATTGACATATGAGCGACTGCGCCCTTTTTCCAAAGAACAGGTTACAAATTTTGAAGTTCCATAATTTCCAACCTCGTTGATTTCACATCCCTTGTTCACTCAGCGAAGGTACTCATAGACTCGCATTTATGCACAGACACATAAGGCCCCAACTTTTCAACCACGCCCTTTTTGTAGATTTTTGTAAAATTTTTATATTTCTCAAAATCTTCATATTTTTAAGTTGCTAGGTCCTTTACAGAGGACAATTTTGAAAGAAACGGAAGCGGCTCTCAAAAATATGAAGTCAGGCAAGGCAACATGCTTTGACGATGGTGGCGGCTGAAATATGGAAGTCACACTGCTGGTATTCTGCTGAATGGTTCACGAAGTTCTTCAACCAGGTCGTCGCAGGGAAGAAGTTGTCCGAAGGGTGACAAGAATCCACGACGGTTCCGATCTGGAGAAAGAAAGACAGTCCTGCAGACTTACCGTTCAATTCGTCTGCTCTCGCACAACAAAACGGGCAAACGAATCATCTGTGCTTTGGAGTGTATTCCTTTCCCCAATATTCGTTTTTCTTTGTTCCCAATCAGCATTTCCGAGCGAATTGTTGACAGTCGTAACCGTAATATACTCCAGCTCTCTACCAACCAGTGCGGCTTAAAGACCTGCTGTGACACCACTAAAGACAGCTCCACGATAAAAGAGTCTTGGATAATTGCTTTTCAATTATGAAACAGTAGCTGATAGGTAATCTCCCAAAGTAGAAAACAAGCAGGAAGCGTCCTCCAGAACAACATGAACAAAATCGCTCCCTCATAGTCACACCTCCCTGCGGTCTCTGTGCAACCCCTAGCTCACAAATCTCTCTACCACCTCTCGCAAAAGCTGATATGATCCAGTGAAAAAATGAATATAAAAAAACAACAAAAACGCAGAGGAAAAACTCTTGGAAGGAAAAAGAAATTTCAAAAACTCGGTGCCCGAGTTTTGGGTTACGGTAGCGCACATTTTAGTACAATGAAGTGCGTCGAGCTTTTGCACCACGAAAATTGCGTCACTCGTGATTTTTACGCGTTTCACCTCGCGACATGGCTTGAGTTGAATGTGTATGCCTCCAATGAGTAAACTGTAATAAAGGAGAGCAGAATTATCCATGGGCACGAGTGCGGTCAGCAAAAAGGAGATGCAATTCCGATTGATGCCCGCCGCCCCACTAAGGTAAGAACAACTGAATGGCCTCGTCGAAGGGCATCTAGCAAGTAAGGCGGTCCAACTGAGCAGGCGTTAGAACTAGAACTTTGAGCGGCTGTAGCTCGCTCCCCGCTCCCTGTCGAATAGAGTGGGACAGTCTCTAGCTTGGGGGCTGTACTACTTGCACAAGGAAGGACGACCATGTACTACTCGAGCGCGGGGGCTGTCTTCAATTGTATTCACGCCGCTAGCCTGTTGTTGGAGAAACATCGCGAGAAGCAGAAGCATGTCCATCTAGCCTTTCTTGACTTAGGGAAGCCATTCGATCGCTAGTCCCGCGTGAAGCTATAAGGCACGCCTTACGACAGCACGGCATTCCGGAAGAACTGATTGAGTGGGTTGCGCATCCTGTATTTCAGCCCAAACGGCTTTTCGATGAAATTCCCCGTCACTGTGGGGGTGCACCAGGGCTCAGCGCTTTCCCCGCATCTCTTCGCTCTTCTCTTCTCTATATGGATGCCATTGTAATACCTTCAAATGCCATTTCCCTGGACAGTTCTCTATGCTGATGACGTGATGCTCGCCTGTGAGGATAGAACTGTCTCGAGCAACAGGTGCAAGCCTGATCTCAGCGCTTGGCGAACTTCGAACTTAGACTGAACATCAAGAGGGCTATGTACCTGGCAACCGGCTTGAATGAACGCGGTTCTCTCAGAGTCGGCGACAACGAGCTAACATGTACAACAGCTTTCAGGTACTTTGGATCAACAATTACGTCTGGTGGCAGTCTGGACTCGGAAGTCAACTCGCGTGTCAGTGCAGCCTGGCCTAAGTGGCGCTCTATGACTGGCGTCCTTTGCGACAGACGATGCCGGAGCGCCTCAAATCGAAGATCTACAAAACCGTCACTCGACCTATCGCGATACGGCGCTGAATGCTGGCCCACAACTTAAGAAGTCGAAGCTCGCCTCGTGATGGAGACGAAAATGTTGCGCTGGACGGCAAGCGTCACGCGAATGAATCGCGTTCGAAATGAAGACGCGCAAGAGGTTCAGTGTAGCTCCCATAGCCGAGAAAATGCGCGAATCTCGTCTCCGATGGGTCGTGTACTGCGTGCGAGTCCTGACACCATCCGTAAGACTAGACTCGAGCTCGTAAAACGGCCTAAGGGACGCCCCAAACAGTGCTGGTCGGACACGTTGCATACTGACTTGAAGATCGTTAGTACCCAATCCGACCAGGCATTCAATAGAGAGAAATGGCGTCACAAAATAAGAAAAGCGGACTCCGCCATCGAGCGGGAGAATACGCTGAAGAAGAAGAAGACTGCTGTAGGAAACTGAAGCTCTGCCCAACACGTAGGAGCCCCGCCCTTTAGAAAACTGTTTCAAATTGGCAGATTATAGTTTAGCTTTGGTACTGCGAGTCGCTCGTCACTTGAAACAAAAAAAAGTCAGATAAGGAAAGAAAATTGCTCGTTTTTAGCTTGTTTTCAAAGAATCAAAAAAAGTCAGATAAGGAAAGAAAATTGCTCGTTTTTAGCTTGTTTTCAAAGAATCAAAAAAAGTCAGATAAGGAAAGGCACTTGCTCGTTTTTAGTTTGTTTTCAAAGAATCTTTTCACGATGCGCGAGTGAGCTCAAGATAGATTACCTCTACAGCGGCGCAAGTGGGTTTGTCCTGGTGAACGGACTTTGACAGCAGCTGTTCGCTCTCCTGAATCCTGGTTGAAATCTCTCTTGAAGAAATCTACAAAAACGGATGACGTGGTGGTCCAGGAACCCATAAGACTCCCGAAATAGCACATTCACGTTTCTTCTCGCCAGTTCCTTTCAGTTTCAGCGTATCGTCAAGCGCTAGAGTTTTATTTTATTTGCGCCGCCAGAGCGCATTCGTTCTGCGAGAAAGATCCATTCGTTGGCATGAAAATTCGCGCCAGCGAGAGCTTTTGATGGTTGGTTCATGTTATATCTGGGTGGACGGGTGAAAATGAGCAAGTGAGTACCCTTACCCCTACTGCTCGCTCTCGTTTTGCTACGTCTCGTACCCTGGAGTTCTAAGTTCTTTTTGACATATTTGTGAGGTTTCTCTCTTTTAAATCTGGTTGCGGGTAAACTATCCTCGAATAATCACCCTATGTGGATCCCTCTATTCGTAGATTAGAAATGTTCACCAACCTTCACGAACACTTTAACCATGTAGGCATGAACTGCTGTGAGCACTACGATTGAGATCATTGTTGACATTCCAGACTGGAACATAGGCCATGCGATAGACGCCAGTGCGTGACGAATACGCTCACGTTTGTTCTGAAGTGAACAGTGGAAGAAATGATGACATCAGATTTGGTTTGATCAAACATCCCAGGTTGTAATTAAACTACCAGGGACTCAAAAACGTTGAAGACGTCATGTCGGTAAAGCGAAGAGGAAATGACATAAAGGTCGCATATTGGGCTGGAAAGAAAGTTCTGTCAGTGTTTTTTAAAAAGCTTGCAGCTTCCGATTCCTAATGCCTGAACATGTCGCTACATGCTATGCTAGGGGAACACTCTCAAGGCTTTCCTGCAAGAGGTATGCGAAGGCGCCTACTCTTACATGGGAGTGCTTAGATGTCAGTTTCACAGGAGCACCTACGGGTCGTCATCTGGTATCAGTGGCCCCGCGGCATCGGAGCGACGGCAGCTGTCCGCAACATCAACAGCGCATTGCCGGAGAACTCCACTACCATAAGGACTGTCTACCGCTGGTTCGCTCGCTCTGCGCTTTGCGAAAGGAGACACGATCTTCGAGACAAGCCACGTTTGGGATACTCCCACGAAGTAGAAGACCTCGCTGTACTCGAAGATGACAAAAAGGAACGCTACACCCGCAATCTTGCGACAAAACTCGGGTTGCCTAACTGACAGTCATCAACCGCCTGTAAGATCTCGGTCATCGAAAAGTGCCGGCTCTATGGATGACTCATACTATGACGAATGTCACGCCGCACCCGGGTACCCCTTGATCAGTTTCCCCTTCTACGGCCTCATCAGAAAGTTTTTGGGAGACTGGTCGGTGAAGATAAGACGTGGGTTCCCTATGATTTCAGTTCACACAGTACCGTGCGACTTATGCGTAGCTTTTCCATTTTAGATGTATGTCACTGTCCTTCTAATGCATTGCTGTAGCCAGAATTACTCTTTTCTTACCTGATCAAACTTGTCGACTTTCTCAGGAGAAACAGCCTTGTAATGTATACATTCTTTCGTAGCACAACACAGTTAGTCCACAAAAAAGGGACCACTTACCAAGGTTTCAAGGTGCATTTTTCGTTTTACTTTTCAACTATTATATTCTTCTGTCATTGTTCAGTAGACTAAGAATATCTTCTTTTCTACTCTCACTTTTTTCTAGATTTCCCATTTTCCCTTTGTATCTTTCGCATATCTGCTTTTATATTCAGTTCATGCTTAATTACCCAAGCTTGAGGTTCAGTGAAACTTCGACGACAATTAACCGCGCGGCAATCAGCACAAAAAGAATACATGGTGCATCGACACTAAGGATTCGAGTAGCCAGCGGAAGCAGCGTCACTTCAAGGAATGTAGGAAGTAACTAAACTCTCTTCCAGAAGAACTAAGGGGGTCATTTTCAGTTAGACTTCTTCTTCGAGTTGTTCTACTTTGGTCGGTTTCTCAGACGCTCCTTCTTTTCCTCGGCATCTTTCCTACAGCAACCGTGTGGCAGTCAGCAGTTGAAAGTGCATCCGCCAGCAGTCTTTATTCGCTCACCTAGATGGCGACCTCAAAGCCAAAAAAAGTGTACTCACGCATGACTTGAATACGCTGACCTGACAATTGGACTCGAATTTTATCAGGGAAGGAGATATGTAGGGAAGCACTGAAGTTCTCAACCAGATCAATAGAGATGGCCTAAAAATCGCACCACGTACGCGTCGACGGGGTAAGCTTTCTGTGCTTTCACTGCAGCTGCTGACAGTCTTGAAACGCCTCTGCGTGAAGATGAGAAATGAAAAGTCTCAGAACTTATCGACAAAGCGCAGGAACTCATGTGTCGAGCAGAAGCGTTTCTAACAGAACTTCAAATCAAGAGACCTGAGCTTGCATCCTGCCAACATCAATTTCATAGCTAAACGGTTGTAAGATTCAAGCTTCCTAGGATCCCCATCGCACCATTCAGCGGAAGGAGTTGGCAATGGGCGATTTCTGGGAATTCTTCAATACAACCGCTTATTCTCAGCCCATTCTCGATCTTCAGAAGTTCCACTACCTGTCGCAATCTCTGAAGGGAGAGGCACGTGAGTCGATCGCACGATATCAAGTGACATCGGCGAACTACGTTTGGCCATAAATCATTTGAAGAAGTGCGGGAGAACCGGCGAAATAGTAGCTGAGCTGCATTACCCGAACAGCTTCGCTAAAAAGTCAGTACTTGAATAACCCCGGCTCGTAAGCGAACTTCTGTCGAAGTTCTCGGAAAACATCCAGCAGCACGTACTGAAGGAGAAGGTCTCTGCGGAAGATAAGATCTGGGCTTTTAGAAGACAAGAAAGTGGAAGAGGAAGTGGAAGAAGGAGTGGAAACTCTCGAGGAGTAGTCCTGAAAAACCAGTGCAATCTAATGACATTAGAGTCTCTCCGAACTGCTTCTATGTGACAGCAAAACACACCTATAGCCTGCACAAAATAAGCATAAGTAATTCAAAGATAACGACGAAGGTGAACGTCCATCGATAGAAATTAAAAATTACGGACTACGAGAAGAAAGACACCAGTACACCGCAATCGCTCACTGTCGCAGTGGAAACGCCTATCAAACCGCTATCTGACGGCGAAGTGGCTGAGGATGTACTCGAGTAAGTATGAGGACGTTAATTAGAGTAACGAGGACGGAGTCCCAGAAGAAGAACGAAATGCGACAGAATAGGAAAAGGATGAGGTGCATCTGACTGTGAAGCAAAAAGGCACAAATTACTACCGCAACTGGAAGATCTGCAACAAAAATTCCACTAACGTCGAGTACCACGTCATTGCTTTCGCCACCATCCTGGGGACGGAAGTGATGTATATCCGTTGTGCATTCTGTAGCGAGAAGGGACCTACAGTGATTGCTGCCTCTTTTTCAGGGATGTTGATGCACGCTTCCTCGACACCCTACACTCCATTGATAAATGTTGGCGACGAAGGATGAAGTGCTGATATTGTGGTCCAGATTCTCACCATAGGGCGTTAGACACACTACCGGGGAGAATCAAAAGAAACGAGAGCGAATACCGAGAACTTGAATTATAGGACAGAACTCTCTCGCCAAGTTGATGACTACACTCACGCACGCATAAAAAGACACCTCCTTAAAGGCACTTTCCGCGATAAAATAAGGCTATGACTTTTCAAATGTGTCAGACGATCCGGAAGGAGATTGCGGAGGCTGGGCTACCTTTAGAAAGTGAAAGTCGGCAAAAATTCCGCTTTAAGCTAACCAATTAGGCCCATGCCGACCCCCACCGGCTGCTAGCTACTAGCTAGTAGTCCCTATGCTATCTCCTCCATTCCGAATGGTGAGAGTGAGGTGATACGATAAAAGAGCTGATATCTTTATAATAACGACGAGTGGAAATTCGTACAAACATGCGTTTTCTTCATTGCATATACAAGTTGGGGTCGATATGGAATCCTATTTAAGGCATTTTTGGCTGTTTTTCGCTGCTTTTCTTCGCTGATCAGATACCTAGCCCTTTTTCGTTTCTGCATATATTGCGTTTCTTGAAGCCACTGGTTTCAGTGTTTGTATACGAACAGTACTCTCGCTTTCCAAATTTTTACACTCGAAATCTCTGAGATGTAGTAGCATTCCTCAGCTATGCGTGGCGGTGGCTCTTGGTGAGATATTTTCATTTTGACCCAACTGTGGTCATGTTTCTGTCCAACACTGAACAGGATGACAGTTGTCTCAAACTGAAATATCCCACGAGTAACCATTCCGTGCCACGTTCAAATGCCAGACCTACTCCGTTTCAGGGATAAGGGGAGTACACTTTAGGAAATGCCTCGCCCAATATTGGTGATCCTCCCTCAATGAGCACCAGTACTGACTATGACCACCACATCCCACCAAACGACGAGTAGTGCAAAGTGTAAAGATTTACCGGAAAGTCGCCCTTGTAGTAGTGCCATGTAATGTGAGCTACGAAATCTACCGAGAAACCGATGGCCATAAGCAAAGTTGTCATCGAGATCGGATCCAAATCGATATCCAGATAAACGAGGCAACCGAACACTCCTGAACTTATGTACGCCAAGTATGTAAGAGTAACAAATCAGAACAAAAGTATTTAAAAATATGGAAAATACACTGCGTTTCATAATCGTGAATGCATCTTAGATTCACTTTAACTTGTGAACCCTCTAATTTATAGAGCAAAGAATTTGTATGTCGGTTCGCATGTCTGTTTGTATGTCTGTAGGTATGTATATACCTCTCCTTCCGAAAATGCTTTGGGTGAGGGAAATGGTAGGAAAAAAGCGCTGCTACCAGAAGCAGAAAATCACTTCATGTTTTGGTCACATTATAATAGGTTTTTACTACTATGATAACACCTCGCTGTTCCATAAAAGATTCAAGTGATAGGACCATAGGCAGCGTTCACAACAAACGCGCCTGCAGCGCAGTCCACGTGCTGCTGCGCAGTAGCCCGTGTTAAAGCGCGTTTAACGCATTCAATTACAAGCGCGCGTGGCACTATTGAACTATCCCTAGCTCAGTCTTCCGAAAGCAGGCCAGTTACTCACTGACTTTTTTCTGCAAGAGCAGATCTAGCTGAAAATTCGCTTCCAGAGGAACTTCGACCTCCTGTACAAGATTATCACATCCGCTTAGCCCGAAATCGCCCGACGTGGGCGCCACAGGCCGCCGAAACCTTAAAGGCTGAGCCCCCATTCAAATTTGATGAGTTATGCTGCTCAAATACTTATAACAAGGTAGCAAGTAACCCCGTAGTGAAGAAAAATCAGAAAGAAATCATAGGAAAGCTCTATATAGACCCCTTGGTCAATTGAGGTTGTACGTGCTCGAGGCGAAGAGAAGGTGCGGTCGCACGAGTTCTCACTTGTTGATATCAGCTGTTTTCCCTTATAGTCTCACTCTCACCACTCGACGTGGAGAGAAGCAGCAGCGAAACAACTGCACCAACAGATAAGCATTAGAAATGAGTGGAGGGCGGTGCCAATGATTGTAGGTTGGGCCAATGAGAAGAACGACGGCAGCGTGGGCCTCCTCACTCGTTTTTGCGCCGCGAAAGTGGTGTAGTTGTTGCCTGTGCGGACCTGACTACCTGCTCACGAAGGGAGAGGGAAATCTCAGCTGAACGCGAACGCTGCCTTTAAATCACCGAATTCGCTGAAAACTTGTCTCTGGGGAAGTTTCAATATCAGATCCGCTTCCTTATCCTCCTACCAAATTCAGCCTTAGCAGAGCGCTATATGACGCTGCTGTCGAAAAAAAGTGCCATAATAATCATCAGGGCATTAAATAACCCTATTACGCAGGTTTTTATCGGTTCATTATTATACAAGGTTTCATCAGTTCTGGTAAGGAAGATGGTGGCGACACCACAAATAACCCTATTACGCCAATTTTTATCGATTTTGGGGAAAAACAGTGTGGCGCCAAGTCAGCGCCTAATGAAATGGCATCAACGTAAAACAAATGCCGTATCAGTGACCAGGATGTTAATCAACGTCCGTATACAACGTTTCATCAGTTTTGGTAAGGAAGATGGTGGCAATAAACCGGCACCTAATGGCGCCAAATGGTGCCAACGCCAAAAGGTAAAGTCATATTCCTAATCAGGGCTCCAGATTACCTTTATAGTCAAAGTTTCAGCAAAAACTCTTTTGAGTTCTCCAGGTAGGAATAGTTCAATAGTGCCGCGCGCCTTGTGCGCGCTACTGCGCAGCAACATGCGTTAATGCAGCAACACGCGTTAAAACGTAGCAACACGCGTTAAAGCGCGGGAACGCGTGCTAAACGCAGCAACGCTTTGCTGCGCTTACCGCGCGTTGAGTGTGAACGTTGCCTTACTTAGTCACTCCTTGAGCGAGACGGACCACGGACGGGATTCGAATCCCGTCCGTGGTCCGACTTTTGCCCATAACTCAGCATTCCTGTGATAGCTTTCCGATCGCGTACTGCGGCGTTAAACAGCAGTTATCAAACAATAACAGCTTTAAAGTGTTAACAGTGTTGTAAATTTATTCCTTCTCATGCTGTGTTATGAATGGAACCGCTGCCGTAAAGAAGGGCAGATGTTCTTAAAGGCAGTTGGCACGATAATTTCGTGTACACCTTAAAAAGCAGCAAAGGTGCCTAGTAGTACAAAGGCAGTGAAGAAAGGGGGCGAAAAGGTGGGAAAACAGGGAAACGGAGGCTCTATTTCCATGCTGCACTGCGGGAGTGAACGGTGGAGCGGGCGCTGCGTTGGACGAGTGTCCCGTTGAACCGTTTGCTGCTGGCAAAAAGCCAGCAGTGAACGGTTCGATCGATGAACCCTCCTCTTTTGCTTGTTGATGGTATGCATGTTTTGATATATTTGTTCCTTTTTTGTTTCCTCCATTCACAATCGATGAATTAGATGTTTCAATTTTTGGATGCGTTTAACACGCGCGTTTAAATTTCTTTCGCTGCACCAGCAGAACACAATTGTGAGGGGTTCCAGCGAAAACCTGAAAATAAACAAAATTCGAATACCCGCACACCTTCTCATTTGGGCCAAAACGTAATAACAGAGCCTAATGACACATAAAATTAAACAAAACAAACAATAAACAATCTTAATCGACATAGAGAGATCACAGAATCAAATAAACTTCAAATGTTTACATAGTTAGTTCCTTTTGAGAGCTTGACTTCTCACTTTTATCTTCAGGCCATTGTTGACAGTTTTGATTCAAGAAGGAGGGTCCGTTCCACCATAGTTCGTTGCGAAGGAGGTCATTAATAGATAATCCTCTGCTTCCAACATCAGCGGGGTTAAATAGGGAAGGGATGTGACGTAGGGTAGCAACAGGAGCATTATTCTTAATAATCTGGACTCGATTATGTATGAAGATCGGGAGCTTTGTTTTTGTTTTAATCCATTGTAGCAACTTTGGAGTCGGACCAAATGCATACTTGATCGAAGTGAATTTCCACTTGTTTTTTGCTGTGCTTCATTAGTGTCGATCCTAGAGAGATAGCGCTCAATTCGAGGCGGGGAATAGTTATTGTTCTTTTGAGCGGAGGGAGTCGTGTTCGACCCATGAGGAATTGCACATTAGTTCGCTCTGCCGTGGTTGTCCGAATACAAGCAACAGCACAATAAGCGGATTGGGAGGCGTCAGTGAATATGTGGAGTTGGTGTGATACAGGTGTTTCATCGTGAGGTAGGATCCTTCGAGGAACTTCTACTGTGGGGTGTGTCCAAGATTCTATGATATTCTTCCACAGCTTTGATAGCGATTTGGCAGTATTTCGTCCCACTGTAGATCTTCTTTCCAATGACTTTGGAGGAATATTTTCGCTTCAACGGTAACTGGGGCAATAAGTCCAAGTGGGTCAAAAATCGAGGCAATCTGTCTTAATATATTCCTTTTTGTTGGAACTGATGGTTTTCCGCTTTCTTTGGCTAGTTTCACATAAGTGTATCCTTTTTTACGTTTCATTGAATGCCGAGAAGTTTTGCAGCTTCCTCCGTTGGTGTTTCTTCCTTGAGTGTGATGGCTGCGTTGACTTCGCTGTTTGATGTAGTCCACGCGTTCATTCCGGCTGATTTGAATAGGTTTTTTGTTTCATGGTATATATTCAAGGCTTGTTCCTTCGTATTTGCTGACAAGAAAATGTTGTCCACGTAACAGGACGTGAGGATTTCATGAGGTAATGTCGTGTCTGTTTTTGTGAGGTGAAGATGAATGGTGGCGGCCAGTAAAAAGGCACTGCATATCAGTCCAAATGGGACTCGTTGGAATTGTAATGTAAATGTAATTATGTTTTCTTTCGACGGAGGAAATCGGTAATTTCGGAGCCACAGAAACTTCGTGAAAGATCTATCGCATTCTTCCAGCCCTGTCATATGATATGCTTTTTCTATATATCCGATGAGTAGAACTGGAGCAAGGCGTATTCTGAGCAGTATGCCGCTCAAGTCTGGGATCAATGCCGGACCGCGAAACAGGCAGTCGTTGAGGCTCGGTTGCTTATTTACCTTTGCGCTCCCATTATATACGAGTCGTATTTTCGTGGTTTTTGAATCGCTGTTTACAGCGTTGTGTGGTAGGTATGTTCCTGATAACCCAGTGGATTGATTTGCGACTTCCTTTATGATACCTCTTTGCAGTTGTTCTTTAATAATATTGTCATATTTTCTAGATGAGTGGGATTTTTCGAAAGTTTTCCAGTTCGACTTCAAGCAAGCGAGACAATGATGGCAATTGTCTGGAACTTCCTCTCGTTTACTTCTGAAAGAGAGCCTGGTGTAATATCGACATTCCTTTTCATCGTAGCGCGTGGCTTTGTTGAAGAGGTCGAGACAAAGGTTGTCTTCGCTGGATGTACCTTGTCCTTCATCTGATGTGCCAAGAGATTCGCATGACCAGACTTTCTACCATTTCATCTAGGTTCTGTTTGTTTAGTGGGCGATCATCTTCGTCTTGTACTGCCATGTTGATAGTGCGGGGATACTCTCTTTCCGTAGATTATTTTTCCTAGTCTCGTGTTCAGTAGATTGTATCCGTTGGCTAGTGTGGCGGAGTGAAATTCTTCAGACAGAATCATTTGCCACAAGTGGTCCATGCCATGAGAATACCTGTGGCTTTGTTTTTTGTGGATATCGAGAAGTTGTTGTTAAGTCCGCTTGTGACCATCGGAAGGTTGAATGGAATCGGAAGGGGTTTTTTAAGGGAGGGAAGGAATTGTACTTCCATCTGATATAGGGAATCGTTCACTAGCAGTACATTTATATCATACTGCTTCGAATGTACTGTCTGGGACTCCTTATTGCCGAATGTGTTGAGAGTGATATTCTTATTCTTGATAGGCTCTACTCCAAGTTTCTCTGCTACCTCATTTGTTATGTAGGAGTGGGCTGATCCACTGTCCAGAAGGGCTAGTGTTTGCACTTTCTTCTTGTCGTCATTCGGATTCGTCAATGTAACCTCAGTGCACATGAGTAGAATTTTTTCACTGTTCGATTGCGATGTATCTTGCTTATCTACATTTGCTGTGCGACTGGCTACTGAGTAACATGGGTCATTTTCTTGCTTTGTGCTTTTGTTCTTTTTAATTTCCTCTTTGGTTACTTCCGTCGTCTCATCCGAGAAGTTGATTAAGTTCTCGGAAGTGGTGTGGTTGTTATATTGTTTATCATATGCCCTACTCTTATCGTCTGTCTTGGTTTTCTCTATTGTAGGCCAACTTTTTGAAATGTTCTCGGTAAATGGATTGTTATCTCTATTTGGTTGGACTTTGTTTTCGGACTGTTTTGTTTGATAGCAGAGGGAGGCATGATGTTTACGGCTGCAGAAGTTGCAAAGTGGTCGATCACATGAACCTGGCTTATGATCTCCTCTCAAACATAT